ACCCATGGTAGAGCAACTCTTAAAAAAAATAGGTCATTTTATAAACATTGTTACAATGTATAAAAAATAGGAACACATATAATTAACTTCATTCTAGTTTTGTATTACAAGTATACTTTATGGGCTGGCTGGTTAGCTCATTTGGTTAAAGTGCAGCCTTATAACACCAAGGTGATGAGTTCGGATCCCCATACCGGCCAGCCACCAAAACAAAAAAGAAAAAAGAAAGTATACTTTATGAAATGGAAATTTGACTTTGTAGTTGTTATTACCTGTGAGAACCAACATAAAAAAGGTGAACGTATTGTAAACTTTGTGCTGTTTAATAAATGAGCAGTTATATTTTCTACAGGAGTAAGAAGTTATGACTCTTGTATCTGAAATGACATTTTAGAGGTTGTTGACAGACAAAACAGACCTACTCTTTCTCTCTAGTGGTCCCATATCATGTAAAACAAATTTCTGTGTCACTTGAGTCATGGTCTTGGAACGTAGTTAACCTTTTAACCTTTATGACAGCCCTTGCTGGTAATAAGGCAAATCATATTCAACCATTCACTTAATGACTGTTTATTGAGCATGTACTGTGTACAAGGAAATATTCTAGGCACTGAGGATAAAGCAATGAACAAAACATACAAAAACCTCTGTCTTCATGCAGCTTTTATTTTGTGCAGGAAGAACAGAAAATAAATAAAAAGACTGAGTAGAAAAGTGTCATGATCTGGGGAAAAAAAATTTTTTTTAAAGTATCAATCCAAAAACACAAGAAAGGAGAGAAAAACATATAGAACAGGCAGGACAAATCAAAAGCACGAGGCAGGATGGTAGATTTCAAATGCCACGTACCAGACACTCTGGGCCCAAAGCCTGCTCCACCGCTTACTCCTCTGGACTGTGCATGCAGTCCTTAACCCCTTCATGCATGGTTTCCTCATCTTTAAACGAGGATCAATATGCCCTGTTTGTATGTAACATGCTTAAAACAGTGCTTGGTGTATAAATGTTTATAAGTAAAATGAATCAATATGTTGAATGTAAACAGACTACTTGTTCCAACTAAAAGATAGAGATTCTCAGACTGGACAGAAAACAAAAAAAAATCCACCTGTGTGCCATCTGCAAAAGATGCATCTAACTCATAAGGTATAGAAAGGCTGAAAGTAAAAGCATGGAAGAGAAGATATACCGTGCCAATGCCAACCAAAGGAAAACTGGTATGACGGGACTGACTTTCAGGCAAAAAAAAGAAACTGCTCAAAGAACGTCAGTATAGAAGATTCGAATAATACAATTAGTAAAGTTCACCTAATGAATATGTATGTATATCTCTGACAATTTCAGGATACACATCCTTTTCAAGCCCATATAAAAACACTTCCAAAAGAGAAAAACAAAAAAAAATTTTTTTTCCAAAAATTGAGCATATCCTGGTTTCATAAAGTCAATCTCAACAAACATGAAAGGAGAGATGTCATTCTAGGTATGTTATCTGGACTCTGCAATTAAGCTGGATACCAACAACAGAAGTTTAGAAATTAAGAAATGTAGCTGTAAATAACCCATAGAATAAAGGAGAAATCATAGTAGGTATTAGAAAGTATATGAAACAGAATTGAACTCTAACATACATCCTACATATTAAGTTTCTGGGATGTCATTAAAGCATGGCTATAAAGAAAAATGTACAGCTCTCAATGCATGTTAAAAACAAAGTTAAAATTCGGTGAGCCAAGGATCCATCTCAGGAAGCTAGAAAAAGAACAGCAAATTAAACTCAAAGAAAATAGAAGAAAGGAAATGATAAAAGAAACAGCATACATTAATTCAATTTAGAAATATACATCTTAACACGGAGGATCAACAGATCCAAAAGTTGGTTCCTTAATCTATTACGCAGCACAGTGACTGTAGTTAATGACTATATATTGTATTCTTGAAAAATACTGGGAGAGTGAGTGTGAAGTGTTCTCACCACAGCAGTGATAGCTATGTGAGGTACCGCATTTGTAAACTACCTAGTCCAGCCATTCCACAGTGTGTATATACTTCGAGGCATCCTCTTGTACATGATAAATACATACCATTTTAAACATCATAAATAAATGAAAAAAAAAAGAATTATAAAACAAACAAGTTGGTTCCTTAGAAAGATCAATAAAACTGATAAACTTGGACAGGTTAATCAGGAGAGACTGGGAGGAGTGGAGCTGAAGATAACACATTTAGACAACTCGTTTGAGGAGTTTTGCTGAGAAATAAGGGCAGCAGCTGGAGGTGTGAGCCATGAAGACAAAAGAGGGATTTTGTAAAGACGTAATCAGGGTGGGCAACATTACAGCTTATTTGTTGTAAGAACATTTATTTGTTTAACAAATATTTATTGAGCATCTACTATATGCCGGGTCCTGTCCCGACATTTAGGATACATCGAGTTAACAAAATAACTTGCGCTGGTAGAGCTTCCTCCAAGAGCTTCAATTGTAGTGGAGACACAGTAAACAGTGAGCATAATAATAAATGAATTATGTAGGGCCGGCCCGGTGGCGCACTGCTACAGTGCGCCGCTTGGGAGTGCGGTGGTGCTCCCTCCGAGGGTTCAGATCCCACACAACACCGAGGGTTGTGATCCCGTTGCCAGTCCCGGTCCGGTACGGGCGCAACACTGAGGGTTGCGATCCGTTGCCGGACACGAAAAAAGACAAAAAGGAAAAAATAAAAAAAATAAATAAGTAAATGAATTATGTAATGTCGGAAAGTGGCACACGCTCTGGAGAAAAAAGAGAAAGGAAGGAAAAGGATCAAGGTCAGGGGCTGGGAGTCCACGTGAGCTCGGGCTCTGCTCGGCCCTAGGGAGGGCTGGAGGTTATCACTGACAACAGGGGGAGGCAGAAGGTGTGGGCTCAAGTGCAAGTAGAGGGGGGCAGTGAGAACTCATGGAAACTCGCTTTCTGTCATTGCTCTATTTGCACTTTAATTATCTCCCATGACTCAAAATGCATCTTTTCGTTTGTGGTCACTTATTAAAGTTGGCTTCTTACCCCTGGCACAGCTAAGAACTGGAAGCCTACTGAAAGTATCTGGAAGCTTAGGGTTAAAGTTAGTAGAGCTCTTTGATCCTAAAGACAACTCCCAAACAGGCCTGCAGACTTGCCCAGCGATGCCTCCCTCAGGCTGCTGTGGGCTGCTTCCAAACCACGACTTCAGGAAGAGTGTAGCGTCTGTGCATGTGTAGTTTTAGGGTTCTGTTGCCTGCCTCTCGTGGATACCAGCTGTGGATTCAGTTTCTTAACAGTTGAAATGGTATGCAGGAACATTTCCAAAGCACTTACCTGTGCTTCTTCATGAGGTGAGCATATCGCAGCCCACAAGACCCCAGATGCTAGTCATGGCTTTGATTTGCATGAAGAATGTATACACGGAAATATCTGGGTCTTGTTTTTATTGTTGTTTGGGGCAAGGGGGAGGGGGCAGGATTAATTTATGTTTCTCATTCACTGAAGACCATTCAGAAAAGGCAACTGAGGGGCCGGCCCGGTGGCGCACTCGGTGGAGTGCGGCACTTGGGAGTGCGGCGGCGCTCCTGCCTAGGGTTCGGATCCCATATGGAGACCAGTCTGCTCACTGGTTGAGCGCGGTGCAGGCGCGACACCGAGGGTTGTGATCCCGTTGCCTGTTGCGGTGCGGGCGCGACGCTTAGGGTTGCAATCCCGTTACTGGTCATGAAAAAAGACAAAGAAAGGAAAAAAAAAAAAAAGGCAACTGAAATTTGAAAATAGATCTCTGGATTACACATACCTTGGCAGCAGAATTCNGGGCTGCTTCCAAACCACGACTTCAGGAAGAGTGTAGCGTCTGTGCATGTGTAGTTTTAGGGTTCTGTTGCCTGCCTCTCGTGGATACCAGCTGTGGATTCAGTTTCTTAACAGTTGAAATGGTATGCAGGAACATTTCCAAAGCACTTACCTGTGCTTCTTCATGAGGTGAGCATATCGCAGCCCACAAGACCCCAGATGCCAGTCATGGCTTTGGTTTGCATGAAGAATGTACACACGGAAATATCTGGGTCTTGTTTGTTTTTATTGTTGTTCGGGGCAAAGGCGGGGGCAGGATTAATTTATGTTTCTCATTCACTGAAGACCATTCAGAAAAGGCAACTGAAATTTGAAAATAGATCTCTGGATTACACATACCTTGGCAGCAGAATTCTTAGAGAGAATTTGTAGAATGACAGCTGGCTCCAGTCGTCCCTTCAAACCCGCACTCAGATGTACTCACCCCCCATCTCCGTTCACATGTTCTTCAGGGTGGCAGGAGGGTATCACGTGCTGACAACAGTAATGTTTATCATGTTCTGCCCGTTCTTTTTCCCAGAGATGCCATAACAAAAATGAAAGATGTCTACCTAAAGAATCCTCAGATGGGAGACCCAGCCAGTTTGGATCACAAATTAACAGAAGTCAGCCAAAACATAGAAAAACTGCGACTAGAGGTCCAGAAATTTGAGGTATGAAACGCTGTCATGGAGAAGCTCTGTTGGAGACAAACAGAAAGATGGGCAGGTGTCATTCCGTGTGTAGTGTTGTGGAACACCAGCAGTTCTTTCACTGCGAGAGGTGCGGCTGGGAACGTCAGGCCGTTCCGCGCTCTATGGTAAAAGGAAAAATGCACGGTCATCCACCGAACGTTCTGCTTTCCAGCATGTCCTATTTTAATCATGTCTCCTAAAACTGACAGCTTACAGTTGTATTTGTATACAGTGTTGCTTTTTAATTTAAGTGTTTCACTTAAGTTGGTGCTACTTTATCTCACGTTAATACAATTGTGAGTGCAGGTCATCAATCACCTTAGTGAGTCGAAAAGGCAACTAAAAAATCAACTGAAATATGTTATAGTTCTTTCAGAGGACCCATTATGAAGAGGTTATATATGGGGAAAGCAGAAGGAAACAAAAATGAGAAATGAACAGAAACAAATGTTTTAAGGAGAGAGGGGAGCATTCAAAGGTTATTGACAAAAAAGGCTTCCTTCTGCTCCCTCCCAAATTTAAAGACTACAGAGTAGGGGCCGGCGCGTGGCTCACTCAGGACAGTGCGGTGCTGATAACACCAAGGCCACGGGTTCGGATCCCATATAGGGATGGCCGG